GTTTTGAGCATACAATTCTTTTGTGTTTTCTGCGAGTGTATTTATGTAGACATATGAAGATATATATTTTTTGGTGGTCTTGACCAAATAATTTTGCGGCCAATGCACGGCAAATATTTGTCAACATTTTAAGGCACTTTTCTTTTGTCTCTCAATCGTCTGTAAGTGGCCCAAACCCGCACGAGCAATGCGTCGCGCCCCGTCCTGCTTCGCCCCGCCCCTACTGCCTGGTGACAGCAACTGTCACTGTCTCGGCCAGGCGCTCGCTGAAATCAGAAGCAGTTCATCGAAACTGGCAACTGGCAACTGGCAACTGACAACTGGAACTGGCTTCTGGGCGGCTGCTGCTGCTGCTCACTTGAGCACTTGAGTCAAGCCGAGTCGAGTCTGCGTCGGAGGCATCAAAAGCAAAGAAACATGGCCAACACAGCCGAAGGCAAGTAAAGTAGCTAAATGATGATACCCCCGATACTCAGCCGACAACTTTCCTTGGCCCGTCTGGCGGCCCTGTTGATGGATATTTACCATTTCAGCCAAGCTAACGGCCAGCTATTTGTATTACACTGTGATCTTTGGCTAAGACTGGGAACGCAGACGTAATTGCATTGACATTTGACTAAGATCATGATCAAGTTGAAATACACAAAAGTTATGGCAATTGCATTGAAGTGTAATGGTGTCTGGCCTGAGATACCCTGTAGAATAAGATGACTGCAACTAGTTTACAATGTAGTTTGCAAGAGGCCTCCATAATACTAAGAACCGATTTATATATTTGTATAATATGTATTAATTATTAATTACGGTAATTGTTGTATGGCAAATGTTAAATGGTTAAAAGGTTAGTGAACTCTAGTGTAAGCCATGGCTGAATTTCGAATTTCATATCTGTAAACCTAGATTTTAATAAAAACCTTAATAGGTTGAGCTTCTTTTTAAATATATTTAATTATTTGTTGAAATTGGAGAATCATTTATATTAAACATGCATAACATATCTAAAAATGCATATGATATATTAATATATATGTATACGAACTACACGAGTATAAAACCTGCAGCTACATATAAAAAGATATAATTTTATTTGAAATATAGTATAATATATATAGATTATATTATTCACATTACATGCATTAATGGAAGTAATACCTGAAGGCAAGCTTATACTCTAACTATTTCGAATAATCAACTTGTGGACTTGCTGCTTCCATTTCAAAAGGATTTATCCAGCAATCTAATTGAGGGAGCCTCCATTCATGTCCTTTTTATTGCCTCGCGGCACAGTTGCTTGAAGGTTTTATTTGAAAAAAAAAACATTTCTTTGTGTATTCGTATTGAAATTAAATATTTGTTCTTTAGTTTAACAAAATTGTGAACATTTGAATATATAACAAAACAAAATAAATATATATATAAAAGAAGAAAAAATATTCTTTGTCTTTGTCAGATTGAAATAAAACATTTGTCGATAAGTTAACCAAATTTTTGTAAATATGATCAAATTCTGCTTGATATAACATATTACAAAGACCCCATAGTAGTTCAACGACTTAGGGAATATCAGATTCAACATATTGATGTAGATGCCTTTCCTATTATTATTCTTATTTTTATTATTTTTCGTTTTGTTTTCATTGTTGTTCAGTTGGCATTGTTGTTGCCGTTGTTATTGCTGTTGTTGTTGTTGCTGTTATTTTTGTTGTATTAGCTACTGGTTACCGATTGATGCCTTGACTCTGCTTGCTCATGATTATTACGAGTATTTTGTTTGTACTGGGCTAACCCTTCCCTAGCCGCCCAGCTCCCCCTGCCTTTAGGTCTGTTATGAAGTGCAGCTCATGCATGGCGAGCGGCGGCGACATAATGGACATGTTTCAGCTTTTGTTGGCTGAAGAAGTTGTCAGTACGCGGTACGAACTAATTTGCATATTTGGCCCGCAGTAAAAACACTTTTTAAGTGGCCACCCAGCAATGCGCGCACACACACGCATACGTGCATGTGCGTGAGAATATATGTATGTGTGTGCGTGTGCACTTTAAACAAAGTTAAAATACGAGAAATCGGCTACGCGCAAAAACCAGTTGCAGCAACAAAAACAACAAGCATATTCTAGCCATTTACAGTTGCCAACGCTGCGGCAGCCCACTGTGCGCGCGGCTAAGAGCGACAGAGAGGAATAGAGCGAGTGCCTGTGCATGTGTATGTGAGTTGTCCTTGTGCCGCTCTCGCGCACGCACAAGTTCTGCTGCTGCTGCGCCTCTCTTCAGTTTGGAAACTTGTTTCTTTTGCGACCACCACCAGCAGCCAAATACAACATTGTAGCCGCTTTGTGTTCATATTAAACGTGTGTGTGCATGTGTGTGTGTGAGAGAGAGCGCACTGAAAGGCGGAGCTCTGCGCGTAGGCGGAGTCTATACAGAGAGAGGGACTGAGAGCGCTCACAAGTTTTTCAGCGCGCCCACAGAGAGCGAGTGAGAGCGCCAAATGCGCAGAGCTTTTAAAATGTCGCCGCTTCTGTCGCACACGTGACTTTTCATTTTGATATTGTTGTTGCCTGCCGCAGTTGCTGCTGGCTTCGCCGTCGCACTTTGTTTCAATTGCAATAAATTTGTAACATTCTAATAGGCGAATGCGACCCACTGCTGTCGCAATTCGCACCCCATCCTCAACCCCGTGCGTCTTATGTACAGGACACTTGCAGCGAATAGTTACTGTAAACAGCCTGATTCGATTTTCGATATGTTATCGAAAAGAAAATGTCAATATACATCATTAAATGAGGTTAGGTTAATCAACATTTTCAATTTAGATATATATGTTGTGTATTCTTTATTAAGACAAAAGAAATAAATTTAAATTTACATACATATTAAATTTGGGGTCTATTTAAGTCCATATGGGACACCAGACTTGCAGCATGTCGGTTCAATAAGCTATCGTAACAAAATAGGGAAAATGTATGTTGGGCAAAGATAAAAATATGAATAACGACTCAGAAAGGCTGCTAAGCAGAAAATCAAGCTTTTGTTTTTATGAAAAACATTAGGTATTTAAACAAAACATATTTTATTCGTATAATTTATACAGGTGCAGTGAGAAAAAATACGAATTTTACATCAAAAATGTTTTGCAATACGCGGAAAGAATGTTGTTAAGATTTGACAAAGATTTTTTTTATTAAAATCGATCTCAGCGTAATGCAGCTAGACCTAATAAGATTTGTTAGCAATATAATGATAAGATATCTCATAAATATCTAGTTGTGTATGGGGAATCTAATTTGCATTTATTGACAAAAACTTAAAAAAGATTACATCAGGCATTCAAGCATAATAAAAAAAAAATGATGTGTGAGTATATAAGAGATGTATCAGATGTTATTAAAAAATATTTGCTGTGCTAAGGTCTTCTGACTTCTTATAAATTAATCCATAGATACGAATTCTATAATTCAAATGTATTTAAATTTTTTGTGGCAAAGCATGGCTATACTTATTCATCGAATTAATGAATCTTAAGTTTTTGTGCTTCTGCATAAATATATGTATAAGAATACTGTCCTGTGCTATATGCACATATATCTTACAGACTCGTCTACAGACTTAGGCTACATTTTGCACTCGAAACCACATATAAAGTGATATGGTAAAATTTGCCCAGACAGTGCTGCAATATTGTTAAGCTAAAGAATGATTCCTGATAAAGAAAATATTCCTAATAAACACCCATGAAATCAGTCTATGATTTATTTAATGTAATAGCGAACATATTTATGTTATCCGTCTAAGCAATAAAAAAAATCACATTTGTGTACAGAATATTGAGAGCTGAGCTGTAAATGAAAAGCAAAGTGGCAACATGCCAAAAACGTAAAGCAACTTTAACAAAACGAGAGCAACTCTTGCTGCAAATCCTTGAGACTGGCGCTGGCTGCAACTGCCACAACAGTTGACCTCCTGAGGCAGCCAACCGCCCAACCCACCCAATCCAATAGGCTATACATAAGTAAAAGGCAACAACAAGCACTGCCAACTGTGTCAGTTGTGTTGCGCTCTGCCTGTGTGTATACATATATGTGTGTGTGTGAGCGTGTGTGTGTCGCCTACGCTGCCATGCCAACCAGCGGCGAGGTCGCAACGCAGCTGAGCCGCCACAACGTTTCTGGTTGGCTGTGCCATGGACGAAGCTCTCACGGACTAGCACACGCTCACACACACACACACACACACACACAGAGGCACACTCTCGCACAACAACAACAACTAAAAAGCAATTGTGAAACAAAAGCAACAAAGAAAATGAAAGAAACCTCAAACAACCACCAGACGTGGCAGCAGCTGCTTTGCCACCACCGCCAACATAAAATAAAAGAAAAAAAAATACACAGCCGCGAACCAACCAGACCCGCTCCACGCTGCACGTTGCACGTAGCATGTAGTACGTTGCCCATACGCCGCGTCCGCCGGGTCCGCCGCAGTCGCCGTCGCCGTCGCTGCCCGCCTCGAGTGCACAAATTTGTATACAGTACCAAATTAGAATTTGAAACTTTTCTCTTAATTGCTGCCGCAACGACGCAGAGGCCAGCGCCAACGCCGACGCAGGCAGCGCAGGCACACAAAAGTGGTGGCAACACGCTCTCAATGCGATTTGCAACCCTCTGGCTGTGTGTTTGCGCGCGTGTGTGCGCGTGTGTGTGTGAGCGGCTTTTGTATTGGTAAATGTTGCCGCTTGCCGCCATTTGCTTGGGCCGCTGCCGCTGGCAACGTTGGCTGCGCCGCTCGCTGCTCGCCTCGAATTAAAACCCAAAGTTGAATCAGTTGCAATCGAATGCTCCGCCTGACATGGTCGTTAAAGCGCGCGTCAAAAGGAACTTAACGTGAACGTCAAACTGTGACAAGACATGAAATGCGCGTATTGAAAAACAAAGCAAATTGTTTATAACGAAAAATTCCAAATAACAAAAATATATAAACCAAATAAACATAGGTGCTGTGCGTGTGTGTGTGTGCTTAAGATTTTAGTGTACTACGGCGTGTTTGCGGCATGAGTTTACCGTCGGGCGTGGATATGCAGAATCTAATGTCACAGCATCCGGTGCTGGGCGCCCTGCCGCCCGCCTTTTTTCTGCGCGCCGCCTCGGAGCGTTATCAGCGGACACCAAAATGTGCGCGGTGTCGCAATCATGGCGTGGTCCGTATGCCTAATCCTGGCCAGCTTTTCCGTCACATACTCACCTTCTGCTCCCATTTGCAGGTCAGCGCCCTGAAGGGTCACAAGCGCTATTGTCGCTGGCGGGATTGCGTCTGTGCGAAATGCACGCTGATTGCGGAGAGGCAGCGCGTGATGGCCGCACAGGTGGGTTGAGCGCTGGACTCGTGTGACCGCAAAGTCATCTAATGTGTCAGTTTTCCGTCCATTCTCTGCCATCATTTCAGGTCGCGCTGCGACGCCAGCAGGCGCAGGAGGAAAACGAGGCGCGTGAACTGGGACTGCTGTACACCAGCTCGGTGCCCGGTTCGGGCCAGCAGAACGGCGGCGATAGCGTCACGCCCAACTCACACAGTCCCACACATGTGGGTGGTGCTGGTGCGGCACCAGCACAAAACGGCGTATTCCACGGCGGCATACCCTCGCCGCCCAGCGATGGCTACGAGGCGAGCCCCACGCCCAGCCATCAGCACCAGCACCAGCCGCCGCAACAGCAGCAGCAGCAACAGCAGCAGCGGCAGTCGCAGACGCAGCATTACAATGGCAATGAATCCGACACGGATGGACGCACACGTTCCGAGCACCTGAGCGTCGGTTTCTCACCCACACGCACCGAGCTGGACGAGAGTCCGGGTAAGTCCTTGCGAAAATATGAAATTATTATATTTACGCGCTGCTGCCCGCCATCGCAAACAACGTCGGGCCACTTCAGAGTGCAGTCCATGTGTGACATTCACCCCAGAGCACCTTCTCCAACATCCCCCCGCCTGCCACTTCCCACACCATTTGGCCACATCCTCGAAAGCGCTTCAAAGTCTGAAGAAAACGCCCGCGAAATTTTCTGTTTTTCAATTGTCAAAAGCGCAGCGGCGCATAAAGTGCCACACTCCCAGCTACATGTGTGTGTGTGTGTGCGTGTGTGCTTGATTCTAGGTGTTGTTAAGCCAAGGGCTTCCCAGCCAAGGCGTTGCCCCGCACTCGATTAAACCGCGCAGAAACATAAACTTCTCACACCCAGTCGAAGTTATTTTTAAAGTTCCAGCAAATGGGCGCCACAATTGCAACAATTTATGCGAAGCCCTTAAAACGACGCCAGTTTCCAGTTATTACAACTTTCCCAGCACTCAAAGATCAACCCCCCAAAGAGTTAAACACACATTTTTATATGAGAGTGTTAAGGGTATTATCAATAGAATTTTCAGAAAAGGAGCGATTAAGCTTTTCTATACAAGCTATAAACATTCATATTTATTTTATGACGAATATTTTTCTATACATGGATCTTTTATTTTAAAAATTTCCCGTATACATTCATCTTTTGTATCAAATCTTTCCTCTTTAATTGGTGAAATATCCCTATAAATAACTTTTTGTTTTCAAATTCTTCCCTATACATTCATCTTATGTTACATACATCTTTCACGTCGAATATTTCCCTATGCTTATTTTATTTTAAATATTTCCCTATACCAACATCTTTCTTTCAAATATTTCCGCATACATTCATCTTTCGTTTCGATATATTTCCTTGTATATACATCTATCTTATCAAATACACCTCCTTCTTTTTAAATATTTTCTCATACATCAATATTTCGTTGCAAATATTTTTCTTATTATACATTTTTCGTATCAAATGCTGCCCTATGTACACAGCTTTCGTATCGAATATAATCCCATACATATAAATTTCGTTTCAAATATTTCCTTATATTTATTCTATCCTCTCAAATAGTTCCATATTGATACCTCTTTCTTGTCAAATATTTCCCTATAATTATTTATTTCTTCTAAAATATTGTGCTATAGGCACATACAAATTTCATTTATTAAATATTTTCCTATAAATACATCTTTCATTTTGGCTAGTTTCCAAGTGAGTTTTATCTAGGTAAAAAGTATGCATTTACGTATTTTTCTATTTATTGCAAAGAACAAGAAATAAAAGATAGTTCTTCTTGCGTGCGATGTAGGTATTTCAATACTTAGTCGCATAAGCAATCGATAGTTCTTATACAATATATTGACATATAATGATATCTTATATGATATAGTAGATATATAGATATATATATGATATATAGACCGATCTGGCCGATGCTTACATAAAAGCCTATAGACAGACGGAATGATAGATGGTTATGCCATATCGTGTTGAACTAAACTTGCATATATGTTTTGAGTTACATATTAAAACATTACACATTTGGTGGCAAACATATACTTCTTTTATTAGAGTTTTATCGAGTTTTATATACCTTGTTAGGATTATTATAAGTTTTACTAAACAGAAAAGGGAAATTTTGATTACCTTTATTCATACTATCCACACTACCTGATATATCTATATAGGTGTGTTTATAACTTCTGCTTTTAAAAGTTTGGGAAATTAAACACCACCTCTTAAAATAAACTTTGTTTTCCACATATTAACTAGAAACTTTTTAATCTGCCGTCACTTTATTTCCATTTTATTTTACTTCACGAAGAAAATTATTTGAAAGAACATGCATATTTTTACCCGAATTCGTTGGAAATGGGTAAAAAGTGCATAATGATTGTGTGGAAATGTATGCAACAGGCAGAAGGAAGCATGTGCATCCCGATAGAGTATAAAAATTCTTGACTAAGATGACAATCTGGGTAGACTTGAGTGTCCGTCTATCTGTTTGTGTGAACAAGTCGAAGAAGCTATCAAGAAGCTATCAGAGCTAGAGATTTGCAATGTGACATATATGTATAATCTCCAATACCTTCCGCTGAATGACATTCCTAATTTTTTCTCAATATCCTACATTTTTCATAATATTGATTACTATCGGATTTGGAAAAAAAATGTCGTGTATGACTTGAAGGTTAGAAAAGCAAGATATAGCAAACTTGGCATGTAGTTTCTCTTATAGCACACAGATTAAGAATACATCTTTTGAGTACCCCCCACATTCCTACTGGAATAAGAAATAACGTGTTTTTAAAAGGAATATCCGAATGCGCCTTGGTATTTACACGCTTTTAGATGCCACTAGCTTGTCTTCCGTTCAATATTATTATTTCGACTCAATACACAAACATATTCCTTCCATTTGTTATCTTCCAACCCTCTCTTGACTCTTCCTTTATCATCAACCCAACTCTGTAAGCCTTTCAGCACATTTCCAACTGATTGATTGGTAAATAGATATAATAACTATGCTCCATAAGCCTATAAAACAATTAAAGGCAACATTATCCGACACAATGGATACATTAGCAACCACTTTTTAACAGCAGTCCTGAGAGCTGCCTGAAATGGGGGCACGTCAACAGTTACAAAGTCCTTGGAATAGATACTTGGGAGCACTCAATGGGCCAATTTGAAAATGGGCTTACATTGTCAGGTTGTAAGACAATGCCAAGCTGAGGGCGTAATGCGAGATTCGCAGTAGTCCCTTTTCTGCTGACATGTTTGTCCTTTTTTTATTGTATCGGGGAAAGAAAAACACGCAAGGATTCTCACGCGAATCAATCGAACCTGTCCATTTAAGTGCTGCGCTGTTTATTTGCACTGAAATTCAAGACGATTTCACGCATGAATTTACGGAAAGAAAAATTCCGAATCAACAGCACCAGGTGCCCAGAGGAATGTTTTTTTCTCGATATCCCGAGAGCTGGTGGGTTTACGAGTCGACAGAGGGGGGCACAACTTAATTAAATTTTCACTGCGGCTTCGTCAACAGCAAAATCAAATAGACAAAAAAATATCGTATAACTTGTTTCCATTTGTGTACAGGTTGTGCAGGAGTATTGCCATGTCAACGAACCCTCCCTACCATTAACAAAAATAAAAAAATAAAATCCCAAACTTCACTTGTGTTTGCGATTCCCGTGATTACATTTTTCTATTTTGTTGTTGTTGTTGTCTCTTCTCTGTTGTCCTCGACGCTGCATTCGATACTTTTATTTGTTTTTTGCCTTTTGGAGTGGAAAACCGCACAGTTTCCCTAGCACTCTACCTGACTCTGAACTCCGAACTCAACTGTGGCTCTCTTTTCTCCCTTTTGCAGTTTCCAAGCGCGGCCTGGCGCATTCAAATGAAACCGATCAGGACACGGGCTCCGAGTCCGGCTCACCCAGCAGTCCCAGCAGGCCCAAGGTGGCCGGTCTATTTAATCTGACCTCCAGTCTGTCGCCCGCTCGCACCGGCCCGCCCAGCTCGCCGGAGTCCGATCTGGATGTGGACTCGGCGCCCGATGAGGCCACACCAGAGAATCTCAGCCTGAAGAAGGAGGACAGCAACTCGCCCCCGAACACACCCGCCGAGAATCTGCACCTATTACGCTCCTTTGGCAATGGACATGCCCAGGGCTTTATGCCCTACCATCACACGCAGTTCCTGGCCGCTGCGGGCCTGCCCACGCATCATCCGGCAGCGCAGACGTCCATGCAGCAGCAGCAGCAGCAGCACTTGGGCCAGCATCCACATCAGCAGCAACAGCAGCAGCGCTCCCCGATTGATGTCCTGATGCGCGTGTTTCCCAATCGCCGCCGCAGCGATGTGGAGCATCTGATGCAGCGCTTTCGTGGTGATGTGCTCCAGGCCATGGAGTGCATGTTGGCTGGCGAGGACTTGACGCAGACGCCGCCGCCACCGCAGGTGCCCCCGTCGCCGCCGTTTCCCATGAAGTCCGCCTTCTCGCCGCTGGTGCCGCCCGCGGTCTTTGGTTCGCCCACCCATCCGCATCGCTATCATCCGTTCATGCAGGCGCATGCCAAACGCTTCCTGTCCGCCCCCTATGCCGGCACCGGCTATCTGCCGGGCGTTTTGAGCAGCGCGGACATTGAGCAGTCGGAATCGAATGGTGCCAGCGGCATGGCCCTCGATCGGAGCAGTAATGCGGGCGACTCCCAGGATTGAGGCAGCAGCAACAGCAACGCCGCCGATGCGAGCGGTGTTTGCGTCTTTCGGCCCTTTGAGCCATAGCTCCAACTCGTCCTGCCGCCAACCAGTTGAATCTTGTTTTAGGGAAATCGAACCGAATCGTAGCCTAGCAACTGCTATTTTCTTTAGATCGTAAGCATCGTAATGTAGCACTGGCTATGCATGTATTCCTAGATACCCTACCCCATATACATATGTATACCCCACTTATATTCTGTATCTGCGGCATGTTTATCACTCGGAAGTATTGTACCATACGTTAAGAGCTCGTAAGATACGTTTAGATCAAATTAACATTATTGAGATTATTGTGTAAAGAATCATATAACTATTGAGATACCTATATGTATATGTACCATATATATAAAAATATATAACGTACCATGTATTAGTTAATAAATTACAAACACTGTGTTAAAGTATTTAATAAATTAAAAAGAAAAAAAAAAACAAATTCCAGTAAATCGAAGAGCAAGAGTTTCTTTTGAAGATATGTGGAAAATTTTAAAGCTAGTTTTTCATTGGCCTATCTAATGTGTAGTAAAATTATTGATTCATTGATTGTTGATTAACGAACAGTCCAAGTCGTAGAAGCTAGAATACAGTATTTTTTGACTTATCCGCATAAAACGGCGTTTCGGTAAATTCCACACGCAACTGTGGAAAATTCCATCGAAATTCCAGCATGCATTCCATGGCCTGGAGTACATCGATTGGTGAGTGCTGCTGCCGTTCCTGATGGACGACTGCGGTGCCTGAGGATGCGTGGGTTAAGGCATTAAGCCCTGTGCATGGCCATTGCCAACGGAGCGCAACAGATGCAGATTCTCGGCGCGTGTGCTGTCCTCCTCTGTCCAAATGCACAAACGAGCTGCATGGCCGCGTACACTAGCAACATTGTTACTAGAGCTGCTTGCTCGTTGCCGTGGCAGTGCCCGTATTAAAAGGAGCTGGGCCTTTTCTTTTTGTGGCATTGACAAATGTGCTGCTGCCCGGGTGAGCGGCATCTGTGGGGCAGTCATACAGGTGGGTCGGCTGCCTACGTTGCAGGGCGACCTGCAAATCAATGACTGAGCTATGAGGAAGCCGCCGAGCATTTCGGGCGTGACCCACGTGAGACTCAACAGACTAAACTTCGTCAGCAACAGCAGCTCGCTTTGTGATCTCTTAAAGCGCTGATCTACACGCTGAGAAGAGGGCTGTTCATTATTATCACTATATAGTTACAAGTTTGCAGGAATGATTAATACTTACATTAATTAGGTTTCATGAACCACGAAGCTTTTTAAAATCGGTAGTAAATTTTGCAAGAGATGAGTCTCTACAAAAAATATGGTTTTGAAAAATTAACAAAATTATGTATTACCAAGAGGTTATTCTTATATCACATGGGTTCCCAATTTGGGAGTTACCTAGTGTTGTTAATATTATATTTTGCTAAGAATACTAGTAATAAACAAATAAGAAACTACTCCTACGGGAGACATAAAATATATTAAAGCCAGGATGAAATTATGCAGACATGTTAGGAGAATAGTGAAGCTCATATATACTGAGTTAGGTCGAGACATCTTAAAAAAGAAAACAACAGTTTTCCACAGAAAAATAGATTGAAAGACCGATGCTTTTTAGATCTTTATATGGTATAGTGGTACGATCTTATAGAGATGTTTCTCAGTTGTATATTTCTTCAACTAATAAATGCCAAATTGTGTCAATTGTAAATTGTATTGTAACATAAGAAATTCGTAGATAGAAAAACTTACAGCGATCATATTATTATTATACAGTATATTATAATAATATCATGTTATATTATAAAATAATTGTATTTATATTATGCAGTAGTTCGATGCAAATAGGACTATAGGGAGTTTCTCTATGTTTCTCTTACAAAAAAACGATTTAAGAACTTAACTTTATACCGATCATAAAGAGAACCTAAAATTTGAAAAAAAAATATATGTATATATAAAAATGGTTCTTGTTGAAACATAATTTTGAACATGTGATTTCTAGGCAGGAGATATGATATAAAAGGAATATATTTATGAACCTATCCAATGTTTCTATGGGAACTATAAATATAATGTAATAATTAGAAGTTGATATTTTTCTCATAATAGCTATTAATGAAAAAAGAAAAAAAATGAATAAAAATAAATATTGGACCAATCATTTCTATTTATTAGCTGAATCAAGCAAATGTGTTATATCCAGGAAAAGGATGAATGGAATCTATCGTAAAGGTAGTTTTAAAATTGAAAGACAAAACATTCAGAATATATATGCTTTATTGGTACGGATATAAATGCATTTTTATTTTGAGAAAATTCATTATAGTATATTTTGATACCCTTATAATAAGGTTGCCTTCATTATAAAAGCCATCAAGTCTTTAATCCAAAGATCAGAAATTTTAAAATGTCATGAGTAATTAAATGGATAATTATTTTAGGATTAACAAGTGAATCTTTTCTTCATAGCATCATTTCGAATCGTGGGAAATTCGATCAAAATTGCAAACAAATGAATGTCCGAATATATTTCCAATTGAACGCCAGCCAGGACAATTATGGGATTATAATGATGCGATGTGATGATATGCGGGGCGTTAAACCATATCGAATTTATCTATTTGCCACTATTAACAAAAACTAACGGCACACGACAGACGATGAAAACTGCAAATGGAAATGGAAATGGAAATTTGATGGAAAAGTGTGTGAAAAAGGATTTCACACACACGCACACAAACAAATTTATAATAAAACTAATGCAAACAATGGGGGATTAGAGTGCAGGAGGGTCCGAGTGCTCTGTAAATGACCAGCATGTGATGAGAAGGCCGGACTCCCGGAGTCTGTTAAGCATTTGAGTTATTTTACAATGGGCCAAAGGACTCGAACAGGACAATAATATCGGTTACACGCATGCCATAGTGCAAATTACAAAACTATTTTGCGGACATGGGGCAAACTGAATGGCAAATGGATAACAAAATTAAATTATTGGATATCAATTTTATCCCAATAGGTTGGCATTGTGCGGCAACTCGAAAAGTCAACAACAACAGCAGCAGCAGCAGCACACAACACGGCTGTGAGTGCATGTGTGTGTGTGTGTGAGTGTGAGTGTGAGTGTGTGTACACACACAATACGCTTGCTGTATGGACACCATTGTCAGTGGCTAACAATGACGGGGTGGTCTCTAATGCTAACCCACAGCACCACAGCAGCCAACTGAGTGGACAATAGGCAGGCTGGCAGGCAGGCCAGTTGTCCTGCTGGCTGCTGTGCTGCTGTGCCCGGCCAGCGTTTGGTCCAGTCCGTCTGCTTGTCCAGCCGCTTGCCGCTTGTTATTGTCAATGGACGAGAGCTGTCGATAATATCTTAGAGTAGCGTTCCATGTTGGCCAAACAATGCGCACGCCCTGCATCCAAGTCAGTCGAGACGCCGCGTAACATGGTTGTTCATGTGTGTGTGTGTGTGTGTGTGTGTCTGCTCTAGTTGTGGTTGTGCTTGCCACCACACAAAATGCATACAATGTCAGGCAAGGAGCTGCATGGATAATGGACAATGAATTAATAGCAGGCGATTACGCCAAACTGAAGCCAAACAAACAAACGACCCAACAAATAGATATTTAGATACGATAGATAGATAGCTACACAGTAAAAAAAATGTACATATATATAATTTGCTTATCATTGAAAATTCCTTTTTGAATGAATTCCAATTTCTTGTTAATATTATTTAAATAATATAAAATAAATTAATGAATAAATAGGGAACGCAAAATTATAAAAAAAATTCACACGAGGAATGCAAAATAAAAAATTAATAAAATATAAAAATAATATAATGAATCCAGATGTAAGTCAAGAGAGAAATAAAAAAATTCCATAAGGAGTGAATAAATAAATTAAAATAATATTATGATAATAAAATAATTCCGTAAGGAGTGGAACATAAAAATAAAACATAATTAAAATAATTCGATTAGTAATGCAAAGCAAAATAATAATAACAAAAACAAAATTCTAAAAACAATGAAATTACAATTATATACTAATTCCATAAAGAATACAAAATAAAAACTTAAAATAATATTATCAATATAATATAAAACTTATATAATATTATAATATTATATTAAAATTATTAAAAATAAAATAATTTCACGAGGAGTAAAAAAAAAACGAAAATAATAAAATAAAATTAAAATATTATAAAATTGTCATAAGGAACGCAAATATTAAATTAGAATAATATAACAATAATTAAATAATTGCCTAATAAAAATAAAAATAAAATATAAAATTAATAATAAAAATAATTCCAAATGAAACGCAAAATTAAAATCAAATAATACCATGCGAAATGCAAAGTGAAAAAATCCATCAGGAATTCAATATTAAAAGACCAGACGTTTCGTATACGAAATTCCAATTTATTAAGTAGAAAGAACCTCATGTTAAGATAAGCCCATTGCCCGAAAAAATCAACCAAACAAAACCCTGAACCTGATTAATGTTTTTTTCAAAAACCTGTTGTATAATCATTTGGCTCAAAATTGCAATGCTCTCCAATATATATATAATTTAAGAAGTTAAATGGAACAAGAGAGAGTTTCCCTGTTCCATCCCAAAATCATTCTTATTGAAATCTAATTATCAATGCATAATATAAAAGATGTCTTTGCTCGTGAACCGTAGACTTTCTTTTACTTGAATGCAACCTACTTTAAAAATTTAAAAAAAAAACTTTCACACCTAAATTAGTTTGTGCTAACATGTTTTCCAAATGAAATCAACTTTGGAATTGTTCTTTAATTCGATTTAAATGTAAGCCACAAATATTTTGCTGTGTAGAAAAACTGGGCATGGGCTGTGACCTCCGGCAACTCATGCGGCTGCCGCTGCTGCAGATGCCACACAGCTCTTGTGGCTTTCCATAAGTGCCGTCAATTAAAACTCAAACAAGCTAACCAGCCCAGCTCTACCTTAAAGAAATGGCACATGGTTAGCACAGCCCTTGGGGCTGTCCTTAAGAGCGAGAGAGAGAGAGAGAGAGGGAGAGGTAGAGAGAGTCCTTGCCAAAGGGTTACTTAACAGCTTAAATGCCTAGACATATGTTTTTCACAAAAATAATACACGAGGGTGGTCCTCGGGGCCGACAGTATTTTGTTTTTCTCTCTCCCTTTTACTTGGCATTAGTTTCATTTATTTGTTATTATTTGCTTTGCCAGATTTCAAATTTCAAATGCATTCGTTTTTTTATTTCTATCTCTCTTTCGTTTTTACCCCCCTTGTTTTTACAAGGCAAACATTAAAGGCACAGGCGGCATGG